AAGAGTTATTGGCGGAAATACAGTGAGGTCGTCGGCGAACATAAGTGCAGTGGGTAGGGCGAAGTTGTGTAACGGGTTGAAATTGCGTTCAGCGAGGCGGTCGATGGATGGATCTTTTCAAAGGAAGGAAGCTATGGCTTCCATAATGAAGAGGAATATGGGCGGAGCCAATGGGTCGCCTTGTCCAACAGATCTAGATGTCTGATAGGATCCTGTTGACCTGGACCCTGCCTGTAGGGTCTGAGTAGAGGACTTTCACCCAATTTCTGAAGTTTGGGCCTCCCCCCATTTTCTCCATGCATGCATGGAGAAACTCCCAATTGACTTGGTCATAGGCCTTTTTGAAGTCGAAAAACAAGATTGCAGCTTCATTCCTTTTTCCATGATCTTCGTTCAGCGTCATCACATTGTCCAGTATATACCGGCCTGGGATGAAGCCTGCTTGGTCAATGTGAAAGCATTTGTTCGTTAGTTTTATGATTCTGTTCGCAAGCGCCTTAGCGAGGATTTTGTAGGGTGTGGTGAGTAGTGAAATTGGTCTGTAGTTCTTTAGGCCACGCTGGTGCTCAGATCATTGCCCAGGCCTCCTTTTAGCATGCTGTCGTTGAAGAAGTCGAGCAGGTCTTCTCCTACGGTCGGCCAGAAGCGGCTCCAAAATTCTTTAGAGAGGCCATTGATGCCTGGAGCTTTGTCATTTTCCATCTGGGTCAGGGCTATGTGTAACTCGGCTAGGGTTAAGGGATTGTCCAGGCCTTCCGCTTGGGTTGTGGAGATTGTTTTGTCAAGGTAAGATAGCATGAGTTGGCAGGCTGCTAAGTTCGCTGTGGCCGGCGGTGAGGGTGTCTTCAATTCGTGTAGATCTGCGTAGAATGCGCTGGCTATCCTGACCATTTCTGAACCTGTTGTTTTGATGTTCTCTTGCTCTGCTGGGTCTTTGAGGCCTTCTATCATGTTGTTCCTTGATTAGAGAAGAAGAATTTGGACATGGACTCGTTAAGTGTGTAGTCCGTCATCCTTGCTCGTACTTGCAGGCCTCTCAGTTCCCATCTTCTCCACTCGTTTAGTTCTTCTTTGGTATCAGCTAATAATTTCTGGTAAAATTTGCTAGAGGCGTCCTCTGCCAGGTTAGATTCTGGATCTGAGATGGCGAATAACTTGCGCTGTTTATTGAGGGACCAGTTTTCTTTGACTGCCGCAGCCATCCTTTCGGTCGTTATGAGGGCGTTGTTCAATCTGAAGAATCCCTGACCTGTTTCAACGGGTGAGTTGAAGTTGAGCAGCAATTGAATAGGTTTGTGATCCAGACCTTTGAAGGCTGCAGATGGGAGGATCTCGGCCTCTTTAACTGTGCCTAATAGACTCTCAGATTTGAGGAAGTAGTCAATTCTGGACAGTCATGTCCGATTGGCTTGGTTCTTCCTTATCCGGGAAAAGACTTTTTTGTCCGGATGCATTGCCCTGAGTGGGTCGATGAGTTCACATTCTGTCATCAGGTTGCGAATCCGGGTGCCCGCTCTTGTGGGGCCCATTTGTGCTGTCTTTGAGATCTGGTTGGGGTCCAGGGTTGTGTTCCAATCTCCTGCGATGACTATCGGTTGCGGGTTGGGGATTGGGGATAAGGGTATTGATGTTCTCAAAGAAGGTCTTTTCAAATTCCTCGTTTTGCCCTCTTGAAATTTCACTATTTAGTATTTACTGTTTACGCTGATTTCCCCCTGTCCTTCCCCCCCCGCCAGTGGAACTCCGTGTGCTGTAGCTACAGACTGGCTGTGGTTGGAATTCGTCGTTCTCTCCTCTTTTCTGAAACTGGTGTGGTTGGACTTCGTCGTTCTTCCCTCCTTCCTGAAATTTTACCGTTGTTCCTTAGTGGAATCCCAAGTACTTGTTGCTGCAGGTCGGGTTGTCTCCTGATTTCTTGTTTTTCCATGTTCTTTGAAGTTTAAGCTAGGCTACCAGAGTGGCCAAAAAAGCAAAAAGAACGTAGGAAGATTTTCATGACCGGCCAGTCACCTGGGCGTGGCGCCCGGGGGGTCTGACCCGGGATAGCCGGGCACGGGGGAAAAAATAAAAAATAAAAAATAAAAATTTGGTGTTGGGTTTTTTCCACGCTCTCCAAGAGGAGCCCAAATCGGGGCTCTTTTCGTTTTTTGAGTGTTGGCTGTCAAGAGGCGGGGAACGGGAGTAAAAATGAATTTTAAAGGGGCTAAAGGGGTTTAAAGGGGGGTGCCTTAGTGTGATTTGGTTATTTTCTTTTTTATCTTTAGTTCCGTGAGGAATTCTGATGCGACCCTCAGCCAAAAGTTGTTTGTATTGCAATTCTACACAACTTTTTTTTCAGATTTTTTTGGATGGTTTTTTTTTTTTTTTGCACTGGCCCATGCCCGGGGGTCATGCCCGGCCTGTCAGCCGGTCACCAAACCGGGCGTGACGCCGGGACCCTAGTGGCCGGGATATCTCCCTAGAAAAGAACAGCTTTTGTTTTTTATTTTCAATTTGGTATTAGGATTCCGTCCTCCTCGTCCCCTTTCCTTTCTTTTTTTTGAGAGGCTCACTCTCACACTTTTACTGAAAATGGGCCTAGCGCCCAAGGCACTACATCAATCAAGATAAATACAAATGCGAAATCAATGGGAGCCGACAGGTCGCAAACCATAACTTCGGGCCGAGCCTCGCCGCCCCAGCAATGGAGCACCCTCTCAGCTAAACAATTGTACACACCCAGAGTTGCTTACCCTCTCCAATCGAAAGTAGTACCACTTCCACCAGCACTGCCCAAAAATGAAAGAAATTCCCTCTCCCTACCAGGCAGCTATCAAGAGAAAAAATAACAAGATAGCTACAACTCTACTATTCCATAACCTTACTCTGTTGCCAACTATCCATACACTATTCAGAATACTCTCTACTCCATTCTCAACAATCAACAAACGGCGAAAAGCACACCCAGGAACTGTTGACATACAGAATCCAGATTGAACCAGTTGAATAGAATCAATAGATAAAAGGAAAATAATTTAAATAAAAAAAGAAAAGGAAAAAAAGGGGGAAAGAAAAAAGAAGGGGGGAAAAAAAAGTGCGCATCAATGTGCCTTCAACACTCGTCATAAGCAACCAAGCATAAATGTCTGTTCCGCCCTTGCTAATTCCCTACGGTCTCGCCCGGTTATCAATCACTAAGAAAAAACACAAGCCGGGAACAGACCTTCCACCCTTCTCTCTCCACTCTAAACAAAACAACGCACGAAAAACTCCCACTAGGAACCTCGCCTCAAGATGTTCCGTACCAGCAACGAAACAACAACAAAAGACAAAGGTACTAAATTCCAACGAAGGCCCTCTCGCTACAGCACTCTGAGCTGGCAGCAAAACAGAATCAGGCCCCAAGCAATAGTAATAACGTGTGAGGAATGAGCCGTCACATCGGCCTCTAGGTCGCGGCAGCCTGAAGCCCAAGGGGCCCCAGCAAGCAAGGTGCCCGCCCTAAGTGAAGGCGGGCCTGATTTCGGATATGGGGCCGCATTTTTATCATTTCTGCATTGTTAGGCGCCAGACAGTTATCACGCGCCAGTTGGTTACACAGGCCCTACTCGCCAGCACTGGAATCTTCCGGGAGGCTTCCAGGCTCCTCCGGGCCTCTCTTCCAATGAGCATGCAGGGAACGCTTCACAACGAGTGCGGGTGGTTGGGCTTGCCTCAAAGCTCCGCAACAGGCGACTGTCTGAATGGGCCTGGGTACAGACACTTTGGCCCAATGTGAAGCGACTGGGCCCCCACAACACCAGGCCCAGACGAGGCACAAGCAGTGTTCACTTTCCATATAGCAAAGTCAGCACCCTGGCCAGGGCACATTCTGGCCTGGCATAGGCCTCGATAAGCCCTACTGGGCCCCTACTTGGCCGCCTTAAGTGAAGGCAGGCCCGACAGACGACAAGAGGCCTACTTTGGACTACTTCGCAACTGGGGAAAATTCAGGCAGTTGCGCAGCGCCAATTGGTTAAAGACGCCCAGGCCCTGGCCTCCTTTTTCAAATGTATCTAAGTCAGGCCCTGGGCGACATACGCAGCACGGACCCAACGCAGACAGCGGGCAGTTGGGCACGGGTAACTGTCGGTGGCCCTGGGCCTGATTCGTTTGGCCTGAGGCTCAGCCTCCCTGGGCCTACCAGAAGCTTCTGGGCAGGGGCCCAGCGCAGACGGCTGCACGCAAGCAGGCTGGCAACTTCCATGTAGGAAAGGGCCAGCCCACGCATTGCACATTCGTGCACTGGCTGCTTTGTGCGCAAGCGCTGCTGCGCTATCGCCTGCCAGGCTCACGCGCTCACGGGCGAGCTGGAAGGAGCAGGCAGCCATAGCCGAGCTGCGCTGCTGTATGCTGGATGGGGCGCATGGTGGTCCTTGGGTGCAAGTGGCATCTGTGAGTTGGGGAACGAGGTTGTGAGTGATACAAGAGACATACCTGGTGCTTGATGCGAGCGGCATTGGCCGAGGTCTGCTCGTACTTCGAAAGCTGTTGACGTCATCAGCGCCATTGTAGTCTAGGCTAGATAGGATCTGCCCCTCGTAGTCTGGGCGCCGAGCGCCAGGTAGGATATCGACATTGGTTCTTCGTTGATGATGATGAGACTATTCCAGCATTGTCAATTATGAGCTTTTGGTGTGATCTTATTTGGTGAAACTCGTGATGCAATTCTGCTTTTGGTTCAAGGTCACGACTATCTGGTCTCATGTGTATGATGCTGTTTGATTGCTGAAGTTCGCTATTACTCATCTTCCTTGCACTGCTGTTATTTGCTGTATTTGTTTGCGCTTTTCAAACATCATCTCTTGTATTCACACAGCATCTTTGGTATTTTGCTTGTGCTCTCATTGTGCAGCCACAAACAGTTCTATCTCATGCCTGTCTAGCCTGATGGTATTAATTTTATCTGTTTGTGCTTTTCTAACAGCATCTCTCGTATTCAATCAGCATCTTTGGTATTTGTTTGTGCTCTCGTTCTGCAGGCTATTCTGTTGCAAGCTATCATTCAGTATGCTTTGCAGACGGGAAGGGAGGTGATCCTCTTGGGTAACTTGAATGATTTGTCAAGAACAGTGACAGACTATAGTGTAAGTTGAGAGAAAAACCTTGTTTACGAACTTGGTGGACAGACCAAAAAGAACATTTTTTCAGGGAAAGGAAACGGGGTATATTTGAGAGAAGAATATAGCATAGTTTTCTGAAAGGAGGAAAAAAAGAAAAGGGGGTGTAATGATGTCATCGGCTTATCCATTCCTCTTCACTTCTGTGTTGTTTTTAAACGGGGGGTAGCAGTTGATACTGTTGTATTATCTGATTCAGGATTTGAAGCTCGAATTCATGATCGGTTTTTGGAATTTTTTTTGTCATTCATCATTACAAGGGTGTACTACTATACAGCCGCATGGGCTGGGTGTTCTCATCCTCTCTATTCTAATATTTAAATAATGTTGTTGTTTTTTTTTTTTTTAAATTGTTGACAAAAGAAATATTTGTCTCAGCTCAGTTGGTAAGGCACGCAAGTGGCATTCAGGAGGTCTTGGGTTCAATTCCCATTGTCCTCATATACCTTCCTGGGCAAGTTTGGCGCCCGCCACCTAGAGATATGCCGTTGGTCCTCTCGAGTGGCATTGAGCAGAGACTGCTGATGCTCATAGGGAGAGGGGACCGGAGGGAAGGCACAGTGACTGGCCCATCGAAGAAGCTCGGTGCTGATGCTACCGGCTGACCCCTGGCCGGTATCACCCACCGGCTGTAGCAGCTATCGCACCTGCTGATGGGTGCAGCTCCCGCATGTTTCTTCGTTGGAGGCTTGAGCACGGATGTGGCTGCTACAGGGTTCCCCGTAATACTATAATGACAATCAAAACGGCCTGAAAGGCCGTCCTGTCCAGATTGAACAGGTATTTGAATTGGTTGGGCTTAAAGAATTAGCCTTAAAAAAAAAAAAAACAAAAAAAAAAAAAAAAATCGTTGTTGCAAGAGGTGTCGTTCTCTTCTCACCCAACACCCACCACTCGTTTCGGCTGGTAGTTCATGATATGTTGATTCTTCGCACACACATCACGGTAGCCGCAGCTGAACATTCGGTGAAGGATCCAGTAGGGGCAGCTGAAGGATCCGATGGTGGCAGTTGACCGATAGTGGTAGCTGAAGTAAAAATCCACAACGTATAACAAGTGCATTCGAGCTGATCTAAATCTGACACGGAAGTTTGATGGGCGAATTATGTTTGCTTCTTGTTGTACAGATGAACTAAAGAAATCCTAGCAATTGTAGTATCTGGTTTTGAATCTTTTGATCAGTTTGATATCTGATCCCGTTGTCCATAGAACCATTTAAATAAATGAAAAAAAAGCTAACAAACTTGCAAACAATCGTATAGGGAACAACTTGTAGGTATTGGCACTGTTACTGCATAACAAAGTAGAGATTGGGCTTGAGTGGTGTCTATGTACTGTTTCGATGCCTGATATTACAGGAAAGCGGCAGCTGGAGGATCCAGTAGCAGCAGCTGAAGAATCCAACAGTGGCGGCTGAAAGATCTGGTAGCAGCAGCTGAAGGAAAAATCAACAACTTAAAAGAAGTGCATCCAGGCTGATTGCAATTCGAGGCGGAATGTTGATTGATGTACTCATTGTATTGATTTTACTTCTTCTTGTGTAGATGAAGATAAATAAATGCTAGCGAAGTCGCAAAAAATCGTGCTGGGAACGACTTCTCGGTATTGGTACTCTTACTGCAAAACAAAGTAAAGATTGGGCTTGAGCGGGGTGTGTGTATCGATGCCAGATATTACGTGGTAGTGCTTTTCCCACCCCAACCACCTTCTTCTTTTCTTTGTCCCCTCCTGAGAGAAGAAAGCAGGATAAAAAAAGCAGGTTAGAGACATGGGAAATAACCTGACTTCCCTCGATTTCAATGTCACAGAGAAATGAACAGGAACATCAAGATTGGGCACACAGTGATTGGGCTTTCCAGCAACTGGCTGAGCTGAAATGTAAACACATAGGCGACATTGAAGTTATGGTAATCATCATCATCATCATCATCATCATCATTGTCATCATCATCATCATCATCATCATCATCATTGTCATCATCATCATCATCATCATCATCATCATCATTGTTATTGTCGTTGAAAGATCTTCTGCTTATACATGTGTGGTCTGTCCTGTGTTGTCTTGTGGTGGATTACACCTGTCTACACTTACAGGGCCAGCTACCAAATTCCACTGCGGTGAAAACGATAATGGTATGGACGTGTGATCTGCCGTAGGTTGAGTGTTCGATTCTTGGATTGGACATGCAAATCTGCAAGGAAAGGCTGCCCTTTCTCTTTCTGAGCCTGGCATCCTCATTCTGCGGCCTTGCTATTTCCTGTGTTCTGCTTTCTGCCGTCATAGTGCATGTGAATGACCTGTCGTATCTGTCTGGCTGTCCCTATCCCTCATTCTCTCTCACTCAAGCTTGCAGTTTCGGAGTTGTGGGAGTCTCAGGAAAGGTTTTGATGGTGGTGGAAATGGGCACCTCTGAAGCATGCTTGGAAGCTCTTGCTCTGCATGAATTTGCATTCGTCCGGTGCACTGCGTCGACTCACATACGCAGTGCACCGGAAACTGCAAATTGAAAAAAAAAAAGGAATTCCGAAAGATATTAATTAATGTGTGATAAACAACCGTACTACAACGTGATTTCTTTATTTTTCTTCCTTTTTTTCTTGCCCCTCTTCCCACTTCTTTTTCTCCTCTTTCTTTCCCTTCCTTTTCCCTTCCCCTTTCTTTTCCCTC